TTTGTGACTGATCCCACTACAAACGTGACCATCCATGCACAGCACTAGATCATACATTATGGGACTGCAGTTGTAGCAGAAATCACTGTGAAAAGGGTAATGTGGCTGTATGGAATTATCAAAAAAAAACTCAGATTAAGCCCTTGTTTACACAGGCGGTGTAGGCAGTAAAAATAGGTGGTTAAGCTGGGGTTTTACTACCTCTCTGACCTCCAAGTTAATATGGTCAGTGGACACATTAGTACACACTACAGCGGTTGCAGTGCGGCATGGAAAATTATATACAACAGGTTGCATTTAGCAGGCAGTACCACTGCCAAACCTCCCCCAGCCTGTTTCAATAAATGTTTATTAAGCATATTGAACAATGCACCAGACAAGTATTTCGTTTCACAGTGATACAATATAAAGCTTACAGTATATATCAAGTACAGCAGATACAAACATGACCCATTGAAGCGAATGGACAATGGTGCAAATGTGAGCCAAATGTTGGCTTACAGCTGTGGCATGGTATTACCATTCATATTCCCTTGTAGGCACCAAAAAAAAAAAAACAAAAACAGGCATTTAGGAGCTACAGTATCATCTCCGGAATACCTGGCAGCCGCCAGAAAGGGACAACAACATGTGTAAGGGAATTCCCAGAAGGAAGTAATGGATTCCAAAGAATTTTCAAGGGACCTTTTCAGCGACAGGCAGTAAAGGCAGCAGAAGTGAATATTACATTTGTTCCTTACTGGAGGTACCTTCCATCGTTGGACTTTCTGACTGTGGTACAGTTGCAGTGTTTTCTACATAGCATTCTCAGTGCTCTGATTAATTTTACTTGATGCCTCAAATTTACCTCTATAACAGTAAATTGGATTGATAGTAACTAATTGGATACCATCATCGTGTGCACTCTCCACTACTTTAGATAATGAGGGCTAGTTTACACATGCTTCAAAATGTGGCATTTGATACACTTTTTTTTAAAGCACTGCTAATGCCAATCAAAGCACTTGTCACCAAATAAAATGGTAAGTTTACAGCCCTGTTCACATGTTGTTTGCTTTGCTTTGCTTCACTTTAAAAATTGTCGTTCGCTTGGTGCTTCAAAGCATCTCCAAAGCCTCCATTGAAGTCTATAACAAAGCTAGCTAACAGCACCTGCAGCTTTTGAGGAGCTTTTATTCAGAGTTAGCTTTGCTTTGTTTTGGAGTTATTGCAGGTATGAGATGTCCCAGGATGCAATGGGAAACCAACGAGCGAACCTGAAAGATGTCATCAGCAGTCTCTTCCGGTTTATGTGTATATATTCTGAAAGTGCCTGATGTAGATGTCACATCCGGTGTGCAGGGAGGAGCAGCAGAAAGGTGAGCAGGTTCTGGACTGGAGCGGTGCAACTAGCAGACAGCAAACATTATGTGCAACATGGGAATGCTTTAGCGGGACCGGAGAGAGAGGATTGAACGGTGGAGGATCAGCAGAGCTAGCAGACTAGCAATGTCATATGTGGTGCGCAGCGTGGGAACAATATAGCAAGAGGTGAATGGAGACCAGGGAGATAGGAGGATCAGCAAACCAGAGGATTACTATTGAGCAGGGGATGAGCAGAGCTGGGGGTTACTACTGGGTGGGAGACCAGCAGAGTTGGGGTTTACTACTGAGTGGTGGATCAGCATTTCTGGGGGTTACTACTGAGTGGAGGATCAGCAGAGCTGGGGGTTACTACTGAGCAAGGAATCTACTGAACAAGGATACTAATAAGCTAGATATCTGCTGAATGAGGGTACCAATGAGCTGAGGATCTTCTGAACAGCAGTACTAATGAGCTGGGGATCCGCTGAGTGGGGGCACTACTGAGCTGGGGGTCTACTGGTCCCCTTTAATACAAATAGAAAATCAACACACACACAGGGCATTTGCCAAGCTTCATTAAAGCTTCAAAAAAGCATCAATGAAGCATCACCAAAGCATCAAAAACACGTTAAAAAAACCATGTTGAAGAGGTAGGCACTTTAATGTGTGTTGAAGTCGAAGCAAGTGTAAATTAGTCCGTAGAGTACACAGACTTTAGAGGTTATTTGGACATGTAGGCATGATCTGACCTCTCTAAGCTTGAACTCTCTGTAGGGTGTTGCCAGGGGCGGACTGACAACTCATGGGGCCCCTGGGCAATAGGGGATCATGGGGCCCCTGTGTCCTTGCCCAAACTATGAAAAAGGTACCAGGGGCATCTCATGGGGCCCCCTACTGACCCCGGGCCCTTGGGCAGTGCCCGAGTTTCCAAATGGTCAGTCCGCCCCTGGGTGTTGCACAGTTCTTCCTAAACATGTATGCCTGTCTTGGCAGAGAATACACATTTATAGACAAGGAAGGGGGCAAAAGAAAGAAGGATGTTACTGACTCCATGTAGGTTTTCTCCCTGAAAGGTCATCAGCTCTGGGAAAAAGATAGATGGTGGGCGTCTACAAGTGAGATAGATATGGAATCATCAGCCCTTCCAATAAAAAATGGTTGGATGCAGTGACTGCCATCCTACATCTATGGCTACCTCACCACGGGTGACAGGTCCACCTTCATTTGCCATTAATATGCAACAATTATTTTAGTAAGACATTTAGGACATGAGTCAGAGTGCTATGACATTGAAATCCTCTCTCCAAGCCACTATAATGTAGAGCGACTTTCCATAAATCCAGACATCATAACTAGCCATGCAATTTATAATTCAGACACTGAAATAGCTGAACGTCTTTATGGCTATTTGTTGTTTAACAAAATCTATCTGTCTGAGTGTCCTCAGTAGTAATTGTGATTCTTATCATCCCTACACTTTATGAGACCTGCATTACCTGATGAAATATGAGCAATAGCCACATGCATTATTTATTCTTATTGAAAGACACTATTGAGTCTAATCTGAGAAGATGATTTATGGATGTCGCTGCTTTGTTTAACACTAAACATTCATGTTCATGTGCTCTTTGTGATGAGTTTTTTGTGTCCTCATAACAACTGGTGGATAAACCAACCAACATTTTATAGAAGATAAATCCAATAACTCACCCAGATTTGCAGTTTAATTCTTTTTTCATTTTTGAAGACTGTCTTAACCTTGAAATCAATTCCAACCGTGCTCACGAATGCAGATGTGAACGAGTCATCAGCATAGCGAAACAAGAATGATGTTTTGCCGACGCTGCTGTTTCCGATAATGAGCAGCTTGAACATGTAATCAAAGTTCTGATCGGAAGTCTCTTTCTGTCCATATCTGGAATCCTGTACAGAGGCCATCTGGAAGAACCAAAGATATAGACACATAAATTATTTGTAGTTTCCTATTTTGCAGTGATCATTGGACATATGGACACAAACATTACCAATGTCTGCATACATGTGTTTAGAACTTTGTCACAGATATCATTAAAATCGGTATTGATTGAGAACCCAGGTGTTGGTTGATCCTGGACCCAGTTAATGACACTGCATTACCCCACCATCTAACCCCCCCAACAATCTCCTTTCCAAAACCTCATCTGAATCCATCCCCTTCCCACCTATAAATCCCTGCATCTTATATATGATTAGAACTTTGTCAATAATATAATGATGAAAGGTGTAGCCTGAGGATGCTGGGCTTCCTACATGAGCTGACATTACCGCACCATCTAGCAAACCCACCTCTGATGTCTCTCTGCATTTCTCTCTTCCATACCCCATTTGCATCCAACACCTCCACCAGTAAAAACCCCTGCACTTCCTCAAAGGGTTAAAAACATTGCCACCCAAATAAACCCTATTCACTCTTTTGGGGTTGGATTGCAGCAATTCCCATGGACAAACTACAGCACACAATGGCATGTGTGTGATGAAGAGGGATGAGGGAAATTAGAATTTCCATAAGCCAGAGATTTTGGTAAAATTCAGATTTTACGCAAAAATTACTTTTTTTGGGAAATTGAAAAAAAATAAAGAAAAATTGCACAAATAACAAAAAGATGCACAAAAGGAGACAACACAAATATAATGAACACTAAATGAAAAAAACTAAATTACCTTAATTACACACACACACAGAGTTTTTTGGTGACATTTTGGTGAAATAGATTTAAACTGGAAATCCATCCAAAAAGGGAAGTTCCGCTTTTCTCCCTCCTCCCCCACTCCTCTCCTATATTTGGAATGTTTTTTGGGAGAGGGAGGAGTGGATACCTGCTATTGATAGGTACCCATTCCCACTCTGACTGCGTAGGTTCCTTCCCCAGCAGCCTCTTGGGACATGTCAGAGTATTCAGGGGGCGCAGTGCAGTCTGCACATGCGCAGTGGGTAGATGGCTGTGAAGCCACAAGGATTCAGTCAGCTGCCCACAGTTAAAATGCCAGTGCCTGGACCCGAAGACAGGGCAAAGAGCCAGGTTGGGTGAGGACATCGCTGGATCCTGTAAGTGTGTGTTTTTTAAAAGTCAGCAGCAACAGTATTTGTAGCTGCTGACTTTTACATTTTTCTTTACAGGATGAAGATCGTCTTTAATCAAAATCACTCCACAAGTGAAAGTAGTATTAAACTAAAAAAAAAAGCATTTATTAAATTGCAGCTTACTATTTTTTACATGTGATGGCTGCATTCGTTTTTCTTTAGGCTTTCTTTCTTTTATTTTCATTTGATGATCCAGCCACTAAGTACAATGCCTTGAAAAAGTATTCATACTTCTTGAAGTTTTCCACATTTTGTCATGTTACAACCAAAAATGTAAATGTGTTTTATTGGGATTTTATGTGATAGACCAGGGGTCCTCAAACTTTTTAAACAGGGGGCCAGTTCACTGTCCCTCAGACCATTGGAGGGCCGGACTATAGTTAAAAAAAAAAAAAAAAAAACTATGAACAAATGTGAACACATTACAGGAGATGAGCAAAAACTGCGGACATACAACGGTGGCGGGAATACTGGGCTGGCCGCTCCATAAGACGCACAGACATTTCACCCCAAGTATGTCTTATGGAGCGAAATAGTGCCCCATCATTGGTGTCAGTGGGAGGAATAGTGCCCCATCATTGGTGTCAGTGGGAAGAATCGTGCCCCATCAGTGTCAGTGGGAGGAATAATGGCCCATCATTGGTGTCAGTGGGAAGAAACATGCCCCATCATTGGTGTCAGTGGGAAGAAATGTGCCCCATCATTGGTGTCAGTGGGAGGAATAGTGCCCCATCATTATTGTCAGTGGGAAGAATCATGTCCCATCATTGGTGTCAGTGGGAGGAATAGTGCCCCATCATTAGTGTCAGTGGGGAGGAATAGTGCCCCATTGTTGGTGTCAGTGGGGGGAGGAATAGTGCCCCATCGTTAGTGTCAGTGGGGGGGGGGGGGGGGGGAATAGTGCCCCGTCATTGGTGTGAGTGGGGGAAGGGGATAGTGTCCCAAGATTGGTGTCAGTGGGAGGAATAGTGTCCCATCATTGGTGTCAGTGGGAAGAATAGTGCCCCATCTTTGGTGTCAGTGGAATGAATAGTACATCATTGGTGTCAGTGGGGGGGAATAGTAACCTGTCATTGGTGTCAGTGGGGGGGGGGGATAGTGTCCCAACATTGGTGTCAGTGGGAGGAATAGTACCCCATCATTAGTGTCAGTGGGGGAAGGAATAGTGTTCCATCGTTTATTGTCAGTGGGGGCTGGAATAGTGCCCCATCGATGTCAGTGGGGGGGAGGAATAGTGCCCCATCGTTGGTGTCAGTGGGGGGAGGAATAGTGCCCCATCATTAGTATCAGTGACACCAATGATGGGGCACTATTCCTCCCACTGACACCAATGACACTTAACTTGCTGACCCCTGTTCCAGCATGGTGCTGCTGCAGCCAGCATACCTGATTGCAGCAGCACCATCTGCACGGCACACTTACCTGGCAGCTGTCCTTCTTCTCTCTGGCCTCTCCCTCACTCGATGTTCGCGGGGGGCCGCTCGGCTCCGCCTCCTCGCAGGTGATTGGCCGCCTGTGTACCTTTCCTGGGCTACAGTTCTGGTGCCCAATCACTGGTGAAGAGGCGGAGCCGAGCGGCAGCGCGAACATCGAGTGAGGAGGGAGTGTGGCCGGAGTGAATGAAGGAGCAGAGCTTCCTGGACTGGATCATCGTGGGACTGGGACCAGAGCCGGGTAAGATACAGCAGCCCCCTGCCCGCCCCTGTACTTGGTGTTCCCGTCCTCAAGGCAATGAGGCCTCGATAAATGTCCTCGGCGGGCCGCATGTGGCCCGTGGGCTGTAGTTTGAGGACCCCTGTGATAGACCAACACTAAGTGGCACATATATGTGAAGTGGAAGGAAAGTGATAAATGATTTTCAAAATTTTTAAAAAATAAATATCTGAAAAGTGTGGCGTGCATTTTTATTCAGCCCCTTTTACTCTGATACCCCTAACTAAAATCTATTGAACCAATTGCCTTAAGAAGTTGCCTAATTAGTAAATACAGTCCACCTGTGTAATTTAATCTCAGTATAAATACAGTTGTTCTGTGAAGCCCTCAGATGTTTGTTAGTGAATATTAGTGAAAAAAACAGCATCATGAAGGCCAAGGAACCCACCATACAGGTCAAGGATAAAGTTATGGAGAAGTTTAAAGCAGTGTTAGGTTATAAAAAAATATCCCAAGCTTTTAACATCTCAAGGAGCACTATACAATCCATGATCTTAAAATGGAAAGAGTATAGCGCAACTGCAAACCTACCAAGACATGGCCGTCCACTTAAACTGACAGGCCGGGCAAGGAGAGCATTAATCAGAGAAGCAGCCAGGAAGCCCATGGTAACTCTGGAGGAGCTACAGAGATCCACAGCCCAGGTGGGAGAATCTGTCCACAGGACAACTATTAGTCATGCACTCCACAAATCTGGCCTTTATGGAAGAGTGGAAAGAAGAAAGACATTCTTGAAAGAAAGTCATAAGAAGTTCCGTTTGCTGTTTGCGAGAAGCCAAGTGGGGGAAACAGAAAACGCTAAAGAAGGTGATCTGGTCAGATGAGACCAAAATTGAACTTTTTGGCCTAAAAAGCAAAATGTGTGGCGGAAAACTAACACTGTACATCACCCTGAACACTCCATCCCCACTATGAAACATGGTGGTGGCAGCATCATGATGTGGGGATGCTTTTCTTTAGCAGGGACAGGGAAGCTGGTCAGAGTTGATGGGAAGATGGATGGAGCCAAATACAGGGCAATTATAGCAGAAAGCCTGTTAGAGTCTGCAAAAGACTTGAGACTGGGGCAAAGGTTCACCTTCCAGCAGGACAATGACCCTAAACATACAGCCAGAGCTACAATGGAATGGTTTCCATCAAAGCTTGTTTATGTGTTAGGATGGCTTAGTCAAAGTCCAGACCTAAATCCAACTGTGATTGTGGATTTACTGTGTGAATCTGTGGCAAGACTTGAAAATTGCTGTTCATAGACGCTCTTCATCCAAACTGACAGAATTTTGCAAAGAATGGTCAAAAATGTCCCTCTCTAGATGTGTAAAACTGGTAGAGACGTCCCCAAAAAGTCTTTCAGCTGTAATTGCAGTGAAAGGTGGTTCTGCAAAGTATTGACTCATCATGAGGGCTGAATACAAATGCACACCACACTTTTCAGATATTTATTTGTAAAAAAATTTTGAAAACCATTTATCATTTTCCACTTCACTATTATGTGCCACTTTGTGTTGGTCTATCACATAAAATCCCAATAAAATACATTTAGGTTTTTGGTTGTAACATGACAAAATGTGGAAAATTTCAAGGGGCGTGAATACTTATTTTAGGCACTGTATGTTTTTTTTTCAAAAGCACAAGCTCTCCAGCAGAATGTATCACTTACAGGGATGAGACAATCCATTAAACACTAGCAGGGGTGCTTACAATGGTCAGCTTTCATTTTATTTATATAAAATCTTTATCCCAGTAGCAAACGACTTAAAACCAAAAGGTATTATCATGACAGACTTTACTGGCACATAGATTTGGACTTGAGATAGTGGCTATTTATATTCTATATAAAATCTTTATTCCAAAAGGAAAAAACTGTTACTGTAACTGCTTACAAAGTATTAGCTGTAGTTCGGCTTCAATGTGTTAGTGTGTTTAAATCTGCTAATAAATCAAACACTCACCTCCCCCCAGACAGACAATGCTGTTGTCCAAAGGCATCCCTTGTGCTTCATACAGAGTAGGGACACTCTAATACAGGAGGTGTGTTACTGGCCAGATCACCAGGTGAAAACAGAGGGAAAATGTCTAAGAAAAGAAGACTAATCTAGCCACCATGTCTAAACATTCGAAAGCTGCAAAATATTACATTTTTGATTTAGGGTTTAATACCGCTTGAAGTGATGATGCCCATGTACAAAAACAATTTACATACAAAGTAGGTCAATTCTCAGGACTGAATGGGCATAAATCCAAATCATTTTGCAGGTAAGACAGCTCCTATTTATCTATTTCAGTCTTATACTTAGCTGCTTGCCTGGAGCTCAGTTTTAACACCTCTGTATATATCAGATGCTATATGAGCTGTCAAAGATGTAAAAATGGCAGTCTGCATGTGCATTGGATATATACAGTATAGGTGTACCTGAGGAGACATAACGATTACACCCCTTACAGCTCAAGACACATTTAGAGTCCTGCTAGGCATACAGTTCTTCAAAAAACACCAGTTCTCTGGAGCTTTGAACAACATTGCATAGAGCATTAAAGGACTGCCAAGCAATGTCCTATGTGATTTTTACTGATAGAAATGTAGCACTCTCCTAGGTCACTAGTTATCTCTGAAAAAACAACATGTGGGTGCTAAGATATGGATGGAAACGTGATGCAGGGTGCTAAGGTAATTCTTTTTTAGTAGGAGGCTGAATAGCAGCTGGGAAAAATAGTAAGAGGGTCAGATATTGGTGAGGGCTTAGAGGCTCTGCAGATCAGCTCACTTGAACTTTCCCCTGATCTAGAGACTTGGAGAACTCTCTAGAATTCAGTGGGTGGGGGTGAGGAGGAGCTGGTCTGCACTCTCAAGGGATCCTGGCCAATCCCCAAGCAGGAGGCTTGGCATGGGTCAGGACAGCCCTTAAGATTGACTGAGCCTGTTCGGCAGCAGGAGAGTTCGGGTGGAAGATGAAGGTGGAGATGGGTGGAAGATGGACTCTCAGCTTCACCATCCCCTAAGAGGACAGCCTGGGAAGCAGGGAAGGAGCCAGCCCAGTGTAAGGCCTGAAGGCATCCAACAACCCACAAGCTTGCAGGAGAGACTGAGTGAGTAACCCCACACCCCCTTGGCTGGATAAGGGGAAAGGTCATTTAGGTGGGAAACCTGACTAGCTCCCATCTGGTACTGCTTTCATCTAAAGTGGCAGCTTCTGGGCCTCTTGGCCAGGGATTCCCTCAGGCAGCTGGGTGAAGAGGAGATTTCATCTGGGGCCTGAGGTTGTACACAAGGAGAGGTTGGATAGCTCTCCAAGAAGAGAAAACTCTTGATGACTTATACATAGTTCCAGGACACTGTCCTGAGTTTTACAGTTTCTGTGACATCCCATTTATCCCTCATCTCCCTCAAAGTTTAAATCCCCTAATTTAATCCAAAAAACCAAGTTCAAGGACTGTTTTGGAATGTCTCTGGAGTGCAAGTCTGGAAGTAAATGCGTGTTGCCTAGTTGTGCAGGACTATAGGACAAATCTCTAGTGCCCCCTAAGGGGGTAGTGCTACAGAGACATGGCCCCCCAAAATGTAAGATTTAATAAAGAGGGTTGAAGTTTTTCTTTAAACTACTTTGTTGTAACATAATAAGCGGAAATGGAGCAAACATAATTTGGAGCAGCTGTGCATGGCAACCAATCAGCTTCTATCTTTTGTTTTCAAATCTTAACTGCACAAGCTGAAGATAGAAGCTAATTGGTTGCCATGCACAACTGCTACAGATTTTGTCTGCTCCAGTTTTGATAGTTTGAGAAATTTCCCCCAAAGTTTTCAAATGTGATACAAACAGTACAGTGGAGATTTTGTTTTAAAAACAAAATTGGTAATTTTTTGGGGGTAATCTTTTACAAGCATTTAGGCATGTTTACAGGCATCAAGCGCTTGAGCGTTATTCTAGCCATTGAAATGAATTGATGCTCAAGTGCTAAACACGTTTAGGCATTTACATGCGTTTAGGTGTGTTTAGACACGTCTAGACGTGTCCAGCGTTTTTCCTGCCAAAACGCTGCTGCTCCTGGATGCACTGGCAGTGGGTTTTTGTACAGCTCCTAAAATCCTCTGCCACTAAAAGCTTTTAAATGTCTATGTGTGCATGGACATATAGAGGGGCATTTGGAAGTAGTAAAAAAAAAAGCCCGGCACCCCTAAAAGTGGCTGCAAAAATGCCTTGTGTACATGAGGTCTAAGAATTAACTAACAGGTGCATCTGGCCTTCAGCTGACCTCCTCCTAACCTGCATTTGATCTATTTTAGGTGGGTTTTGCATTGCCATAGACTTGTATGGGAATACAAAACCTGTTTGAAGCCAACAAAAGCCCATCAAC